GTTCCTCGACCGTCACGCTCAAACTCATAGCCAGACTCATAAGAATGGGCTCGCGGTGTCGTGGAGCTGAAAACAAGTCCAAAAATGTACACCAATATATCCTAAATCTGCAAGTCACTCACACATGCTAACATATGCAAACAATTACTCATCAGCATTTTATCATCTAACAAGTGAAAAAACAAAGTATAGGGAAAAAGATACATGCACTCTCTTTTTCTGTTAGTCATTTTACCAAATGACTAAAACCCATAAAAGTTGCATAACGAGCACATTCTCCAAGAGTTGGCTGTAGAAAAATGGCCCTTGGCTCCTAAAGAAAAGGAAAAACAGAGTTGCCTTGAAAGGGCTTTTGTTTGCTGAGGGCGCCCGTGCCAAATTCCTCTCGCCGGGCTTATGAACCAGCTGTGTTGGGCAATACTCGAGAGGCTCTGTTGCGCATTTTCGCTTGAGGTAATTTTGTGATGCAAACAGGGAAGGGAAGACTTAATTACGCTGACAGTGTGTGTAAGATGAGCACACGTCAAAGTGCTGGGTGTGTGGGGAAATGCAGAGATGTTTCAGCTGCAATGGAGAGGTGGAATGATAAGGGCTGATGCAGGAAGATGCATCAATTCAGAAACATTAGCTATCGATTCCAGATGAGATACTTGATAAGCACCCGGATCACCAGAGATATAAATGTGGGAAGTAAATGTTATCTAGACAAGACTCATGAGCTGTGTCTGAAACCGCTCCCTATCCCCTATTTAGTGCACTATATTGGGTGTCGGACATTTTTTAGTGTTGCCCGAATTCCAGTGGTGTATTGTAATGAAGCAATAATACTTCGTTACAGTACTTAAGTATTTTTTGGGAGTATCTGTACTTTACTTGAGTTTTTATATTTAGGTCAACTTTTACTTTTACTCCACTACATTTCCTAATTAAAATGTATACTTTTACTCCGATACATTTCCCCGAAGCATATTCGTTACTTATTACAAAATAGTCAGAAGTCAGAAGAACACGGACTGCAGGAAAGCAGGTTTGACGAATCAGTGGTCTGGCATTTGCAAGTTAGACTCCTAAAAAACACCTTTGCTCATGTGCAAACCAAACAAGTGTGCGCACAACCGCAGATGATTCATTTTTTCCAGTCAAGTCGAGTCTGGGGTGTGCGATACACAGCATCATCTGCGATAATATGGTAAGTGCGATCTGACATTATCAAGTAACGTCTAGGTTATTAGGTAATCACCAAATAACACACAGCGTGCACGCACGTTGATTTATTAGTCTATTAAAACTCAAAATTCCAGGCATTCTAAATTGTAGACGGCAAAAATGCTTCAGTGTGCTTTTTATATTTATATAATTTAATATAGTTAACTTAATCTATATCACACAAAGAGTAGGCCCCTACCGTTTTTCTGCAGATATCAGTATGAACACATTTAATAATCATTTTATACAAGTTCAGTAATGCAATAAGTGACTTACATTTTAGACATAATATTGTTTGTTTTTGCTCAATTTCGCTAAAGGTCTCTGGACACTGAGTCTGAATTTTTAGTCCGAAATGTTCACACATTGAAAAATAAATACGACCTCACGTTGTGTCAATCACGTTTACACACTGCCTCCAAAACTTTCGTCCAACATAAAAAAATTCGGACCAGGTTCGATTTTCTGCGTTTTCGCATCCGTAACAAGCATTTTGATAGGAAAGGATGACAAATATGAAAAAAAAGAAAAACGCATACGAAAATTTCGGACTCAGTGTGCAAAGACCTTTAAACTCAAGATTTTCAGCAAGTAACAACTCAAAGTCACGAGTTGTACCAACTAATTTTATGGTGTTTTTAGGTCCTTTTTGGAGATTAGCAGTATATCCATTTTTGTTGCATGAAAAAGAGTTGGAATTGCTTTTGAGCTCTTCAGAAAAGAAATAAAAACATGAGGATGAATAAATTATGGCAAAATACACATTTTTGGAAATTCCTTCACTGCACAGCAGTGTGGACGAGAGATTTACCTGAACACGCTCATTAACAGTCACTTACTGGCGGTTTTAATTTCACATTTCGACTATTTATTCATGTTTTAAATTATTTCAAATATCAGTATTCAACGTTTTATGTTAAAAACAAAACATTAGGCCTATTTATGCATCTGTAACGGCAGGGTAAATGTATCCATGTCCCCTCTGAGATACATAAACTGTGTAAATACATCTAAATGCCACTTCAGATGCAGATTCCAGAAATGTTTTCTTGTGTTGGAATGAAAGACACTAAGTACCGGATGAAGTGCTTCTTATTCTTACCCAAAAATACAAAATGGAAGAAAGAGTTCAAACTGAACACAATCTTGCTACTCAAGCTGTGGATGAATTTTTTTTATATATATATTTATTTGCTTCTTTTCCATTTTGCATTTACTTGTAATTTTACTTTCAATACTTACGTACGTTTAAGATAAAAAAAAAACTTTTCGTACTTAAGTACAATAAATATCACATACTTTAAGACGTTTACTCAAGTAATATTCTAAACGGCGACTTCAACTTCTACCAAAGTCATTTTCTGGTGAGATATCTGTACTTTTACTTGAGTATGGCTTTCAGGTACTTTATACACCACTGCCGAATTCTGAGTGAACAAGTTCCTTCCCTACATTCATTCACTACTTTTTACCCACAATCCTCTCTGATTTTGAGTGTACAGCCGATGTACACTCACTGAAGCACTATTTCCCATGAAGCAATGCGGAGAGGACTGATGAGCTGGAAGAGAGTTTAAAGGAGAGATGCAGTTTACATCTTTCTTATTTCTACTTTAACATTAGTTTCATTCATTATTAATATTAAAGTATATTATTTTTGCATTAACTCAGTTTAATGTTTTACTAATTTACTGACGTGGCGTTGTTGTTAACTACGACCATTGTCATCTTATCTGAGCGCAAAACGCTGCTTGGGAGAGTTTCAAGATGCTAAAAATAATAAATACATAAAAATTATGTGTTATATGTGTATGTGTAATATGTGTTTATTTTTGTTGCCAGTGTTTTAATAGTATTTAAAGGCACAATATGTAAGATTTTTTATTAAAATATCCAAAAACCACTAGAACAGTGTTACATATTTTGCCTTTAATGATTATGAACATATTAAGCATTACCAAACAAATTAGCCCTAATACCATTGATGAAACCACAAAGCTGGCGCAGAGGTATGTATAATTACAATATGAAGTCATTGTGAGTGTTATTTTTTATTAATATTATTTTCAAAAAAGGTACATGTAATATTAAAACACATATGTGATAAAGATGTTTCTGTGGAAAATAACAATAAATTAAATTTGCTACCTATTAGGTTTTATTCACGTCTAAACTACCCCAACCCTAAACCTAACCTTACAATAATGCAAATACTGTAATTAATTGTTGTTCAGCTTGACAAAAATGATGCAGTATTGACGTGCACATGCCCAGTAGGCCAATCTGGCCGTAGCTGGATCCCCTTTAGCCCTAACTGTTTCAGCTCTCTGACACGCATGGTATACATCAGTGTCCAAATTCGTTTACTTCATTTCGTTCACTCCTTTCTGATATAGTGCACTCAAATGCCATACAGTATAGGGATTAGTGAATGAGGTCTAAGCTCTAAAATTATATAAAAAGAAAAAGTACCATTAAAAAAAAGTGGTCTATATCAGGAGTTTTTCAAGTTATTAGATGCCACAGGCCAATTATTTAAAAAAAATGTATTACATTTTTTTTTATATTAATATAAAAATAAATATTATAAATATGTGTAAAATATTATTTGGAAAATATTTAGTTTTTTTAATTTAGTCTTTATAGTATCTATAGTACTGTATTGTTAAGATGTATTCGTTTCAATCTATTTTTATTTTAATCACATTTGTATTATTTACTTATATATGTTATACTTTAATGTACTCCTTTAATATACTTTAATGTAACACATGTATTTGTTTATTGTGATCATTTTATTACTAATTTATTTATATATTTCTGATCTAGTTTTTATTATTTATTTGAATGAATGCATTTATTGTAATCTAATTTTTATAAATCGTTTATTTATCTATTTCTGATCTACATTTTTATTATTTATATTTTATTTATTTTCATGAATGCATTATTTGAATCTAATTGTTATTATATATTTATTTGTCTATTTCTGATTTTTGATTCCTTTATTTATTTGATTTTATTTATTCATTTTAATTTTTATTTATTTAGTTAATTTTTTTAGTTTGACATTTTTTACAGTTTGTAACTTTTCCACAGATGAAAAGATTTAGTGAGACAAAACTATTGTATGGCTTCAAAAGATTCAGAATATAATGCATCCGTCACATTAACTACTTCTGCCGTGCCTTTTTGTCATTTTGAAACTATATAGCTTCTAGTATCTCTTTGTTTTGTTTTTGTTGTTTGAAAATGAGCAGCGGGAACATTCTTCAGAATTTCTCCTATTTAATACAAGTAAGTAAGTAAACATCCCTCAGCTTGCAAAAAATCACTCGAGGCCTGTTTACACCAAGGATAATAATAGCTATTATGTTAACTAAAACTACAACATTTTACCACAGCTATAACAGTAACAACAATAGAGGAACAATGTCATTGGAATCAGTTTCAGAGCGATTTTGTCTGATGAATGAAAACATGGACAGCCAATCGGAATCCACCCAAAGCTTGAGCTTTAAAGTGGTAGACGACAAAACCACAGTGTGCACTCATAATAAACAAAACATTATTGTTCATTGGTGTGGATGCTAATATAGTTTTCATTATACTCATTGCTATAGTTATCGTTCTTGGTGTGAATGGCCTTGACAGCACTTACAGACCTGGAACATTCCTGTAAAATGCTTCAAACTACACAGTAAAACTGTCAATGCCCTAAAAGCCATTTGCTAAAAACTGAAATTCAGAGCTCTGACACATCTAAAAGCAAATGATAGTGCTATTTTACATACCGTCAAAGCTGCCGTGCTCCGTGCAATACTGCAGAAGTTTGCCGTAGGTTTCGTTGGACGGGCGAAACACGAACACACCAGAGTTAAAACAATCAGGCCAGCCGGGGTCTGGAGCTGCAGACAGCTCCTCTCTGACAAACAGCTCATCGATGTTTGATAACACCTACAGCCAACAGAAAAGCCTCATGAAAATCATCAACATCAATTCAAATTGAGCCATTTTAACATTTTCTTCATAAATATTTCTGGTCTTATTGAGTACAAAAAGTCCAAATAGCTATAAAAAAAATATTACTGTTTTTACTGTATTTTCAATCAGATAAATGACTTATGAGTTCAAAAAAACAACAAAATCTTAAGTTGAAGGCATGCTTAGATGCCTACCCTGCTTAGTGCAGGTTACACAAGTTAAATGTAATGCAGAGGCGTACATTCACACATTGAGTTAATGGTGCACAGTGTAATTCAAATGACATAACGGACCGCATTATAAATATTTCATGCATGTTTTGACAAGGTACAACTTGAACTCTGCTAACCCAGCTGGTTCGAAATCATGATGCAAACTCACCAGTGTGTCTGCATCCATAAACACACATTTGGAGTAGTGTGTGAGAGCCCAGCAGTGCAGCTTGGTGAAAGTGACACCCAGATCAGGTCTCTTCATCATGGCCAAGTGTGCGGTGTCCCCACTGTCCAGCACATCCACAAGCCTGACTTCATCGAAGATCTTATGAAGAACTGCCCTAAAGACATTCAAAAACATCTCCTTTTGTTTTCCACAGAAGTCAGAGAGTTCCCAGTATGATACTGCTGAATGAAGCATGTTGTACCTTGCCTGATCGGACACATGGGGCCCAATGAGCACCACCAGCTTTTTTGAAGTCTCGTGGTTCCTAAGAGACTTTCCAAGCACCATAGCTCCTCTCGCATAGCTATCGTTTGTGGCCAAAGTGACAAATGCCTGTTCTGCTAAAGAAATGAGCTTGACATAATACCGTCTAATGAATTTGATTTCACATAATTATGCTAAGGAACAACAGATGACAACATAATGGATTTCCTGAAAAATCAAGACATGTTTAAGCCTTAATGGAAGTCGATGATGCACGTTTCCTCTCATAATAATGTCAAAAAGTATTATTCTTTTCAATATGGTTGGAAAAGAATCGGTTCTTTTGAACAATAAGTTTGAAGAATCGGTTCAAAAACGGATTCAGTGATTCTTTTACCTCACGACGTGTTCCTTACATTCCTCAATACAATTTTAAAAGGGGTGTCTGTTGCAATTGTTCGAGTTCAGCCATGATTCAGTTCTTAAAACAAAGTCATTTCGAACGTAAATATCATTTAAATGTGCATTAAACACAACTTAAATGATCTTATATCTCTCAGATGAAAAGTTTTTTCTTGTTTTAATGAAATGCTATTTATTAAAACCAATATGGGTCATCGACTCATACATAAAAAAAATCAAAACAGACGGTTCTGGATTCAATGAACTGTTGTTGAGTTGACTCGAGAACCAGTCAACGAATTGTTCAGACCGGTTTTGTGAACCGTTTCAACCAATTCTTCAACTGAACAATTCATTCACAAATAAAAACATCATCTTAAACTCTTGAGTAATCATGCCAGTATAAGTCAGCCTTACATAGGCTACTTTATATCCAGGGCTACAGAAATATGAATATGAGCAATGCAGTGAGCATCCACATCCCTTAAAGCCTTTTTGCATGCTCTCTCTCTCTCTCTACATGTGTATATATATATATATATATATATATATATATATATATATATATATATATAATCGTATATATAT